AGTGCAGCTGCTCGATCGTGTTCTGCCGTTTGTTTGCGAAAGCCATCCTGCGGGCGTTGTGGCCCCCTAGCGTTCCCGTTCCCATGACGACGCCCGCCCCGGGCACCTCCCCCGCCCAGCCCATGCCCCCGCTGATGTGGCCGGTCACGCCCGGGTTCCTCTCCTGCTCTCTGCCAGACGTCGGGTGAGAGTTCATCTTGATCATGTGGTGGCGGTCCAGGGAGGGGGTGGCGCACACGTTCTGCTGAGACTGGGCCTTCTGCTGGCGAGGCAGGGTGGGGACGCCCCCTCCCGAGTGGGCGTACGGATCCATGACCCCCATCCCGCCCATCCTTTCCTCCAAATGGTCCGGGGACATGAGCAGCCGGTCCTGTCTTTCGTGTCTCTCCTGCCTCTCCTGCCTCTCGTGTCTTTCGTGTCTGTCCTGCCTGTCCTGCCTTTCCTGCCTTTCCTGCCTGTCTTGGGTCTTCCGGGTGAGGGTCTGCGTGTTCGAGTTCTTACCGGAGGCAGCCATGGCCTTGTAGTACTGGTGCTGCTGGTTCTTGGAAAGACGGGACAGGGTGCCGGTGTTGCCGGGGACGTCGCCCATGTTGAGCAGCTGGTCGCTGGACTTGACCTTCCTGGGTTTGGAGAGGGTGTCGTAGTTGGGGTTGTACTGGGGCTCCGGCGGGTCCAGGGGGTAAGGGTTGGGCGTGGGCGAGGCCGGCATGCCGGACGGCGGCGGCGGAATCCAGGGCCGCGCCGCGTGTCTGGGAAGCGTTCCTCTCCCGCTGAGGGTGTAGTCGCCGCCCCAGTGGAGGTGGTGCTGGGAGGACTGAAGGGCCGGCTGAGCCGTGTGCGGGCGGCGCTTGGTGGTGCAGTAACCGGACGAGTACTCGTCCAGACCTTTTTCTGAAACCGGAACGAGATTCTTTAGCGGCACGCGATGGCGCCTCCCTCACGGGCGGGTCAAGGGCGAGCGGGGGGGGGGGGTCACCGTGACGGAAACGACCGCACTTACCGAGCCGTTTGAGCGAGGAGTATCGGTTGAGTTCGGGCTTGGTGGCGCTCTCGTAGGAGGGGGGCAGCTGAGCCAGGTTGTGTAAGGAATGGTGGAAGGCAGGCTGGGATTTGGTGTTGTTGTGCTTACTGGACAGCAAGGTGCCCCCCGCCGCCAGCTGAGCGTTGTTCATCCGAGGCGTGCGTTCTGTGACAAGCCACAGGGGGAAGGGGGGCGGGGGTGCTATGTTCAATGAGATGTTCTCCTTTCGTTGATCTCATCGAAATCATTCCAAATGAAGATAATCATCAGAGCATTTCAGGTCATTTGAGCACATTTGTTATTTGAATCAAAGTGGGAGCCCTTCATGTGAATGAGCACTCTCGTCGCTCAGTTTCAAAAAGGGCCGGTGGATAGATGAATGCCAGTACTTTGACTACATATTGTCAGTTGTCATGTTGCCGCACCGTTTGTTTTCAGCCTAAGGTACAAGCACCCAAATGGTATCTCAAGGCGCCATTGCAGCACTTACCGATCGTGGCGGTATGTTTGGGGCTGGAGCCTGACGTGTGGATGAAATTGTGCTGCAGGTTGCCCACTGTAATTAAAAGAACACAATGCTTCATCATCGGCTCACGGCACTTTTTCCATTTTATCCCACCAAGAGATCATTTTTTTTTGTCAAGCACACTCGACACCCTCACGGAGGTTTTTCAAGTACCTGGATCATGAATGGCTAATTAAAATCTTAAATAATGATTGTTTCAAAACTCTGCTTGTTAAAAAAAATTAAAAAAAAACAAAAACAATGACAGTCCTTCTGCACACAGATACAGTATGAGTATCTATCCTTCAATGTCGTGCTCCTGTTATTTAAAAAAAAAACAACTAATTACTCAACAAAGGTAGCGTTGGCCTACGCTTTTTTTTTTTTTTTGTCCACGATTTATTCAAAAGCAGACATTCCACACATTCCATCAGCCACGCAGACAATCAAGTCACGGGGTTGTGCTCTAAAAAGCCGTGCACCCTCACATCTGTTGTCCTTGCTGGGCAGTCCCGGGGCGTAGAGGTTTTTGGGAGCTCTCCCCAGCGTCCCCTGGCCGTCCCCCATGGTCAGAGCCACGCTGTTGTTCCTCTCGTCCTGCTGCACCGGACTGGACTGGTGACGCAGCATGTCCACCAAGGCTCTACAGTGGTGGAACGCGGAGAGAGGGTGGGGGTGGGGGGGGCGAGAACGGTTGAGCCAGGTAGCTTCTTATTGGACACGGAGTTGTCTTTTCAGAAGCAAAAGCAGAAATAAGGACCCGCTGAGAGTTTGAATAGTCAACATAATCTGGTTTACAACAGTAGGTGACGCTTCTGGCGCTCAAAAAGATCAGCCGAGATGATATTCAGGGTCCCGCTTTGTCACTTGAACTGTTATGAAATTGAACCCCCCCCCCCCCACCCACCGTGCGGTCTGCGCTTCTCGTCGAACCCTACCGCAAAAAGCTTCGAGTGCAATAGTAGGCGTACAGGTGATCAATATTTTTAGCAGAACTAAAACCCCCAAATCCAATTTTGCTCAGGGGCCCTGTGGAGACGTAGGCCGGCTCTGGTTATTTTCATGGATGATGGAATCTCTTAGGAAACTATCGCGAGGGTCAGAAGGCATTGGGAGCATTTCAAAAAGGCTTGCCAGAAAACACCGTTTGTTTTGTTCACGACATGAACGTTTTCGTCCTCCAGCCAAGACAAGGAAATGGAATTTTGTTCAATGGGCAATTTGGCTTCGATGGCAAGAATTGATTTATCGCTGTAAAAGTCGAGAGGTTTAAGGAGAAGGGTATTTCCAGGAATAAAGAATTATTCATCAAATTTCCGGTTTGTCACTTAAATATCGATAACCCTTTGGCTTGCTAGGCTACACGTGCACACGCAAATCAAAAGACAGTCCAAAAAATATCGAGATACAGTACGGGTTTTTACATATGTGCATTTTGTATTTATCTGTTGATAAACAAAACAAACATTATGGTGCACCGTATGGAAGTTCATTGTCATGTAACAGAACAAACCAAATGTCCACCTAAATCTCAATAATAATCATTTTTCTCCCGGGCCAGCTGAAAGGCATCTCTGAGATAAAAATGGCTGCATAAAAACATCAAGAAGCGAGAACCCAAAGGCGCCCGTTGATGCACGTGTCATTCTTAATCCCACGGTGAGATTTGCGCTTTGTCTCTGCACGGTTAACTACGACGGGAACGACAACAATCATTCAAGCTGTTGTGAAACGGAGAGTTGAACTGGACGTGAGGATCCTTCAATCTTTTGTGTCCCGGATCCATCAAATGTCGGCTTCGCGTATGGAATCGGCGCATTGTCGACATTGGCGGTGACATCCAGTGCAGCATCTGAGCTGAAAGGCCCGGAGGAGTTTGCGGCGGCAGCCTCTCGCACTTTCCAGCTGATGACTAAGAGAATGATTGTGAAGGCAGAATAATGAATCTGGGCCATTCATTGAGTCCTGAAAACCTCATTTCTTCACATCATTCAGACGCGCATGTGTGGAATAGCCGGCGCCAGCCAAAGTTCTCATGCGCTGCGCTTCGTCCAAGTACAGATATTGAAAAGAAAAAAAATAAATAATCAAAGTAGAAGTACTGATGCATTAAATGTACATTTACGAGTGTAGACAAGTAAAAAAGGCTTTTTTTTTTTTTTTTACTGTCAGTTCTATACAATAGCCCTTTTTTGATCCCCAAAATGACACCTGACCCGGAGGGGTTTTCACAGGTTAGACGGCGAATGAATGAACACCGGGAGCTGGCGAGTTTTAGTCTGGTGCAAGACAAGGCATAATTCAACAATTGTCTGAAACAAGGCCGAGGCGGGGAATCGTCTTGCTTCTCCGAAACCTATTTCACGTCGTCGCCGAATGCTCCCTGATTCACATTCCTCCATGTCACTCCCGCCCCAAGACCTCAATCGACCCAGATCTCAACCGTTGCGTCGCCGTCCTGAGTTTGAAAACGCAACGAGGCTATTTTTCACAAAGGGGAGTCAAAACGCTAAAATGCAGCGTAGACGTCAAAAATACTCAGATACTGCCTACTTGAAAGTAGACAACAGTATATACTTCCCACCACTGAGAATGCGGAGATCGTGTCGACAGACATGGAGTGAGGGAGAGAGAGAGAGAGAGAGAGAGAGAGAGAGAGAGAGAGAGAGAGAGAGAGAGAGAGGGAAAACGATAGAAAGGAACAGAATGATAGAGACAGAGTGATAGCGATCAAGAGACATAGGCGGAGGGTGACAGAGAGTGAGAGATAGCGTAAGATTGAGACCGAATGATCTACGGGAAGAGAGTGATAGAGGGAGCAACAGAGCGATAGCGAGAGAGAGCGCTAGTTAGAGTGATTGAGTGAAAAATTAGGGGAGCAAAAAAAAAAAAGAGAGAGCGTGAGAAAGAGAGACAAGGTTGGAGAGAGAGAGAGAGAGAGAGGCTAGAAAAGATTGCAATCAATAGAGATGTAAGCAGAAGGCCTGAGAGAACAACAGAAAGATTGAGAGCGATACAAAGTCATATACGATATCGTGTGCGTGAGAGCGAGAGAGCAATAGATAGAACATGATCGCAATGGAGAGACGGCCACAGTGGTAGAGAGAGCGAAATGGAGTGATAGAGCCATCAAGTACAGGTTGGGCAGTGTCGAGGAAGCGAGTGATCGAAACACACACCCACTGAGTCCCAGAGACCGAGAGATGTTGGAGACGGGTGGGCGGACAGACAGAGAGACAGCGGCAGAATAAGGCGTACGCAAAATGAGCAGTCCTTTGTCATTTTTCAAAAAGCGGGAGATGTGGTGAACTGCTGACCTTGGCATATTGAGGTCCCTCTGGATGGCCTCGTGCTGCACCTTGTTGAAGACCACTTTGATGCCCACGGCCACGGCCACCATGAACACCACCACGCCTCCGATCACAAAGCCCGTGTTGTGGCTCTGCTGCTTCAGGGGGTCGAAGTCCGGGTCGGGGCCCAGCTCCTCTTCGATGACCAAGGCGTTGGACTCGGTCTTGGCCCAGGCGGGCGAGTCGTAGTTCTTGCAGCTGTCCTGGTCCAGCTGCCGGTTTCGATCGGGGCAGCAGAAGCGGTAGTGGCACGTCCCGCAGCAGTAAATGAACGTGTCCTTGGTGCAGTTGAACGAGTTGTCAAAGTGTCCCATCACATCGTAGTAACCCTGACACACGTCCATCCACACGTCGATGAGGCGCGGGGCCACCTGGGCGGCGCCCAAGGGCGGGGCCAGGGCCTCGGACGACGTCACATTCTTGGGGAACATCGCTTGGGCCATGGGCTTCGGGGGGGCCTCCAGGACGCCCTCTGCGGGGCTTTCGGGAACTTTCTCAGGGGCCTCGGGCCGGCCGCGGAGGGCGGCCGGTCTCGGGTCAAACTGTGGCATCGAGTGGCCGGGCTCGGTGGAGGATGGGGCGGAGGACGGGACCGCGTCCTCACCGGTGCTATGCGGGGCACTAAGAAGGACGACCAGCGCGAGGATGCGGAGCCTGGCCGTGGGCGTCATTTTTACATGACGATGGGACGGCGCTTTTGTTGTGCAGGTTCTAGCTCGCCGGCTGATTCCAAAAGCGGACTTGTGAATATTCGCAACACAAAAGCAGCTTCATTCAGAAAAGCTGACCAGATCAAATTTGGCGGAGGGGGAAAAAAAAAAAAGGGTCAGAGGCGAATCCTCTTAAACTGGCAGCTTTGATTTTAGATTGTTGCCAATGGCTTTGGAACGGGAGAGTCGAGTGCGCACGGATGGCGTGGCAAAGCTTTTCAGACTCAGCCTGGAAAAAGAGATCGGTTTAAGTTCGGAGGCAGTCTTTTACATTCCTGTACTGATGGCGGCACTTGAACAGCGCATCGATTCAAATGCAAAAGTTATCATCTGCTGGCTTCCGTAATGACGGTATGGCACATTCAAAAGTAGGCACTCGTTAGATATCTCATCAGCGCATTGTAAACACGGACTGTCACTCGCTCAGTGACTTCAGGGGAGCCCGCAGGAGACTCCCGCCCCACCCCCCGTCGTACTAACTCTTTCTCTGGCATATCTATAGATAACACGCTGTACTTTTATCTCCTGCTTTTTATTCCGGGTTTGGATTAGCGTGCATTGGCGCTGGCCTGGCACAGGCTGTAACTGTGATGGGGTGCGGGTGGGTGATAATGAGGGAGCTTTTAAGTGTGAGGAGGAGGGGGGGGGGAGGAGGAGGAGGAGGAGGAGGATACTACTGCTGGAAATTACGAGTAAGCACAAACCGAGGAAATGGCTCCCCACCCGCGAGAGACACTGCAAGCGACCACTTTTGCCGTTCTTCTGCCCTCGGCTCCCAAATTGCCAGTCCCATTTCAACTGGGGTGACTAATTAAGCATGTGATAAATGACGTCTCTTTCCCCCTTCTCTCTCCACCCCCAAAAAAAAAACATCAACCAAACTCAAACGGGAGAAAAACGATCTCCGATTTGTCACTGGGAATGAGGAGTGGCTTTCAAAGACGATCACTTTTGTAGAGAAATATGTAAATTTGTGAAAGTTATTGTGCCGGCAAATAATAGGACGATGGCAGATCCGGCTCCCGCTGGAGAATAAAATATAATTGCATGTAATTTTGAAAAATGTGTGACAGAGAATGGAGGTACATATGGATGGGAGAGGCAGCGGGGAGGGTGGGCTCCTGTGTATGCTTTTGCGGGGGTGTTTGGTTCAAGGGGCGCAGGGCCAAAAAAAGGCCTCTCTCGGTGGGGGGGTCCGCTGGAATACAAACAAGAGATGAAGTGATTAGTGGCAAGGTAAATCCAGGATAGGTGAGCCAGGGGAAGGGATTGAAAGGAAGCACAAAGAGAGGCGAGGAGGAAGAGCCAGAGGTATAGGAGCAGAGACGGCCGTGAGTGGGAGTGCGGCGTGTGGGTGGGGAGCTACACAATCAAGTACATTTCTCCCAGCACTTAAGCGCCACGGCACACACGAGAGCTGCAACATTAGGACGCACGTATAGATGGCCAAATAACCGCCGCGGTGTTTGTGCCGCAAAGTCACTGGCCATTCCTCAACACCTCTTCACAGTCAGAATGTTTGTGTGTGCATTGATCATGATTCATCTAATCTGGTGGATATTAAATTCCATCCAAAATGTGTGTACCATTGCAATGTCATAATTTTGTGAGGAAAAAAAACAACAACAACAAAACAAGAAACGATCGATCAATGGCATCATTGATCGGTTTTGCACAGTGAGACATTACAGCAAACACAATCTCGTTCACTTCAGGGGTGTTCTGTGCGACCATCGTTAATTTCTCAGCATATAGTGTCAGACTTTTCCCAATATTTGTCAATAATTTTGGTGGTTTTTTTTGGAGGATGGAGGGGATGAAACCATTTCAGTGGGCGTCACTTAGAAGCAAAATTTGGCTATTTGTTGCCCGGGCCGTTCCCAATCTCCCACGTTTAGTCGAGTCGTGCCGAAAGTGACGTCATGTGGACGAATACGTGGGTGGCCTTCGAAGGTCCCCGGTTGTGACACAGCCAAAGGTTTTAAGGCATCCTCGTGTCAAAGGCCCGTCCCTTCTCCGTCCGCTGCTCCCTCTACCACATGAGAGCAAGTCATCTCCCGTTTTTCGAGGAAAAAATGGAAATTGGAAAACGATCTTCAATGATGTGTTTATTTAACACAAGTCGGGAACCAAAGCATCAGACCGTAATGTGTTTCCCTCGAAGAACCTCTGCTCCGGTTACCTTTTTTTTGGCTGCGGCCACGGCGTAGAAGAAGAAATAGTTGTAGAAGAAGAACGTCTTGCAGCCCCAAGGAAAACCGATTTCGAGAGAAACAAATTACGGTCGTTTGTTATTCCACCACGTGTGTTCAATAAACACATCATATGAGCTCAGAGAAAGGCTAATTTTCCGTTTTTAAATTTCAATTATTTGGACGAAAAAAAACGATAGATGGGTCGTTTCCGTTCAATTGAGACAGCGACACCGCTTCCTAGCGGACGGAGGGGGAACTGGCCTTTCGACATGTGGAACGTAAGTGCGAACTGTGTGCATTGGAACTGCGTGACGTTTTTCCTCAAATAAAAATGCGCGTGCCCGCTGATCCACAAACGTATCCATTGTACAATTCATAAGCAGAATATAATGTTGACAAACGATAAACCATTATAAGGGCACACCATGTAACTCGCGGATATAATTGTGTGAAAATTTTTGAGACAAATCTCGCCTCTTTCCTTCGGCCTTTCTCTCGCTTTCTCTCAGATTCCGTGCGTGGGTTGAGGCAGCTAACTCTCTCAGAATAGCACTGCAGCGCTGTCTGTGTGATGGGGAACGGAAAGGAAGCGAATACAATTGGAACCCGTGGGCAAAAACAACCCCCAAAACGGGCGAAAACGCATTATTGTAAAAGGATTCAACAAAAGCTTCGTGTGAATTTTCTGTTGGACCAAAAAAAAAAAAAAAAGCATCACTTTGGCCAGCGGCCTCCCGCAAAGGCACACTGTGTCAACTGAGGCATTGCAGCAAGGGGGCGGGAGGAAGGACGGAGGGGGTGAATGGCACACATTGACGAGTGTGAAGATGCATAGTTATGAGCAGCCACCGAGAGGAGGACGCAACAAGATCCAAACAAGCAAAAAGGACTCAAAATGACTCTGCGTGATTGAGCCACACCCACCAAGTGTTACTTTGGCGCTAGCGCGTTGCAACAGGTGCTTGTCGGGGAAACTCCAGCATGCGTTGGAAACATTCAGGGGGATATTCAAAACACGAGTGCGCGACAGAGGCATATGAATCAAAAACCACAGCACCGTAGCGCCCCCCCCCCAAAAAATGTCTTTTATATCCCGCTGCTGCACAATTGATGAGTGACGTGTTCCCCCCCCCCCCACCCCACCCGCACCGACAGATGAATTAGTTGGAACTTGTAACGGGGAAATGGACATGACTTGCATGTCGCTGTGGGGCTGCTTGCTTGCTCGCTGCTTGTGGGTGCGTGGGTGTATCCTCGCCGCTGTGTGTCTGCTTCTTCGGGAGTGCTCTTAACATCATTATTCTCATTATGCGCGTGCACATACGCTCGCTTGGTTTGGTCATGTATTACTATGAGTATTATTGCTAAAACCCCAAAATGAAATAAAACATCGCGCAAAGGAATCATGCACGTGGTTGCAAATAACAAAAAATAAAAATAAAATGAAAAAGTGATGAGCAAATATAACATGACAAATTCACAGAAACATGCGCTTCGATGATGAATATGCAAATGATTTCAAAAGTGCAGCGTCGTGTCTTACCTGTGCGCAGCTGTGTGAGGTTTGACGCTGGAGTCTGCGCACTCAACCTCCGCGTCTCTCACTCAGACCGGCAGCCTGTTGTTATTAGACCAGCAGATGATCCGGATCCCGGAACCCTGAATCCTGGATCTGGATCCTGAGCTAGACCACCTGTTTTTTTTTTTTTTCCTACCCCGTGTTGTTTAATTAGAACGAGCAAGTGTCGCAGGTCTCCATCGTCCTCGCTCTTGATAAATCCACGCACTGCAGGGGGGGGGGGTCAGCACCACCAGACGAGATGTTCAGAGATGTTCTCACACATGTCAGCTCGAAGATTCCGATTCAGAGGAAAACCACAGCGGGGTTAACGATGCAACTTTTGTCGAACAGAATAGCAAGCCTGATCCTCGCCGAGATGCTGCTGCTGCTGCCGCATCTTGTGATTGGACCCTCACTGGCTCCTGCTGATGAGACTCTCAACTCTCCTCCGAGCTGATTAGGCGCCTTCTCATCCCTCCTGTTTTAATCACTGAAAGTGCGAGCCCAACCCCAGAAGCAGAAGCGGCAAAGAAGTTTAATTGAAGCGGCAGCCGACAGAAGGGTGATCAGCCTCCGGTGAATGTGCGAGGGGGGTGGGGGGCGGTGGGAGGAAGAAGATGAGGAGGGGAGGAGGGGGGAGAAGACATAGAAACATGGTTGCCAAGGCAACAGTGTCATTATGTTGGTGGCAATTATGAAAGAGATGAAACCAGAGGAGGGAGTGGAGGGGGAAAAGATTGGCGGAAAAAAAAAAGCGTGAATACACTCGTCACTTGCATGGAAGAATTATAAGGCGACTTTGCTTTGTGACGGATAAATGTGTGTGCTGTTCCTTTGGGGGTGGGGCGGGGGGGGCACGGTGTGTCGCATATGGTCTCTGTAATGGTGCATGAAAGAAGTGCTTTCGCATCCTCCTTCAATGCATTTGTTGGTGCACAAATGCAAGGACGAGTGCAAAATAAACGCCAATTGATGAGTATGTACAATGCGGTAGGCTCGTGGTGAGCAAGTCTGGCTCGCAGTTCTGAGATTCAAAGTTTCAATTTTGGATCGGGCCTCCATCTTCCTGTGTGGAGTGGATGGACAGAGTGCATGCATGAATGGTGATCGAGATGGATCGAGTGATGGATATATAGGTAGGCAGATAGGTGCTGTTGCTCGACGGATTGATGAAGAGCAATCGGGCTATCAAGTGTGACGGAGAGATGAATGAATATAAATTGAGCGACAAAGCGATCGAGGTGGACAGAGTGAGAGATTGATATACAGTAGATCAAATAATGGCATGACAGAGAGCAATAAACATATTGTAGCTAGAACCATCCACCGATATGGAGCAGTGACGTGCAGGAGAACAGTAGCAGGTATCAGTGGGCTCATTTCACCGGTATCGACGACTTACGAAGGCTGCCGACACCGGTCACCGGTGCCCTCTTGTCGCCGTTGTACTCTCGCAAGTATATACCTCGCATTGGCCGCCAGAATGTCTTTATTCGAAGTGGACTGCGTTCGTGTCAATCGTCTCAAATGCCCATGAAGATGAATGCTTAGAGTGTGTCATCGTGAGCAAGTCGCCACCAAATCGTATACGTTTGCCAACTCCCATTTCTGCATCGCTGAGAGAGCGTTTTACTCTTTCGAATTGCAAGCCTCTTGTCTGCCCATTAAGATGCCATTTCTGAAACTGTACGTCCAAGTTGAACCTTGATAGCAATGCTAATCGTGCTATCAAATTTGGCCCTCGGGGCAGTGCGCCAAAGGTTCGCCCAGAAGAAGCGAAAAAGAAGGTTGGGGCTGTTGGGTGTAATTACCTGCATGTCAGGCTGCGATTGCCATACAGGTGGGAGGGGGGCCGGTGCGGGCCGTCATTAGATGCGCTCCAGTGCCGCTCTACAGGGTGTGCTTTTTCCACTGGCTGCTCTGCATGCAATTACGAGCTCCCTCATCATGCTTATTCCATCGCAGCAGAACAGGGGATGACGATAAACAATGTGAACGGTGACAAGCTCGCTGTGTACGTTCACTCGGTCAGAAAATGAGACGGTGACGCCACTTTCACTGGCACTGGAAACACAAAGGTGACCGAAACATAACCGGCGTCGGCGTGATATGGTCGATTTCTACAACCGGACCAAATGAATCCTCCATCGCTGGTGTGCCGACTTCAAAGTAGAAATCACAGTGGCAGCAAAATATTGAAGCAGTGGAAGTGTACACCCCCCCTCCAAAAAAAAAGAGAACGAAAAATTATTTCAAAACGTTTTCCACCATTCACGTGACTGATAACTAACAAAAGAAAAGCCTCCATTAAAAAAGCAATTGGGAAGTGTGCACACCCTCATGTGCTGGGCTGTGTTCAGAACGAGACGATGATATTCAAACTCATGTTCAATGGGAGTCGGGACACACAAGCCACCATTCAAAGTGTCTCTGATTAACGTCAAATAAAGTTCAGCTGTTTTGGTGGCCTTTTGCTGAACATTTTGTGCTAATACTGAGTGGTAATCAGGACAGTTCATGAATCCAGCTGAAAATTGGGTCTAAGATGAGGTGGCGGGGGCGGGGGAGAATTACGAACAGTTCCAAATAGCAGTCCAGTATTAGCACGCAAGACAAGGTGTCAGGAAACAGCAAAGATTTCTGAGGCACGGGGGCTAATCAGAAGCAATTGAAATCTTGGCGGGTGCACTGTCTCTCTTTTAACACGAGTTTGAAATCATCCCCAGTAATAAGATCATATGACTCTGAAAAAGATCCAAATCACATTGATGATAAAAAACGTTTTGAAATGATTTGTTTTTGGGTCTCACAAAAACCTGGGTAGGTTTTGAACTGGCATGTGTAGACTTTGAATACACCCACTGTAGAACTCTTGGAGGGATTTGGTGAGGGAAAAAAATGGTCGGAATATCTAGAATGACTGCGGGGGGAAAAAAATTCAACTATAATTGGGGATGGAATGTCCGTTTAGTAAGAAAACATGAAGCAGCCGCACCATTTTCTTTGGTGAGCCACAAGAGAGCGAGATGGGGGGAGGGAAAAAAAAAGATGTGGTGGGTGGACCGGGCCTTGAGTTCGACACCTGTGATTTAGTCTTCAATGAAACCTACGCAGTCGCCTTATTACAAAACAGGCACAGTGAGAGGAAAAAGAAAGGCTCCAAAAGGGCCAGAGTGGAGATTCGAGCCTTAGAACGCAAAGCAAACCACTCGCAGCCGTGCTGCAGCAGCTCCACTTCCTGACAAGACAAACACCACACACACAAGAAAAAGAAAAGAAAAAAACAAACAAAACGGGAAGCTACATTGTTCATTTGTGCCTTCTTTGGGAAAATAATGTCAAAGTGACCTAAAAAAATCTCCCCCCTGCAGTTTGCACATCCGGTCCAGTCGTTTTTCCAAAGACTCTTTTCCATCCAATTTCAAGCAGAGCTGGACGGTTTCGTTGGGAAATGAAAGCCAGCCTGCAGGCGAGGAAACCACACGTCGTCCAGAAACGTCTTCGGGGGTCTTTTTTTGTGTTCATCCAACTCGTGTGTTTTTGAAAGACACGTCAACACTTATTTCAACTTGGGCGAAATAATTGAATTGCAAATCCGCCCCCTCGCCTCTTCGATATTGTGATTTAAAATGCATTTTTTTTCTTCCAAGGTTACCAGCATTTTCGTAAACTCACAATAAATGAATCTGTATGACAAACATCAGCTGCTGTTTTCGACCGGTTAGCGCGTCCACCTCACGGTGCAGCGTTTGATTGCGGCTGCGGCCTTCCTGTGTGGACTTTGTGCTCTTGTCCGTGTGGCTCCTCTCCGGGTATTCCGGTTTCCCCACCCACAATCCAAAAACATGCCTGCCAGGTTGACGGCGCACTCTAAATTGTCCATTGGTGAATTGTGAGCGCGGATGGTTGTTCGTCAAGGTGGGCCCTGCGATTGGCTGGCGACCGGTTGAGGGAGGAAGACAGCTGGGATAGACTCCGGCACACCCGCGACCCCCGTGAGGAGAAGCAGTTGAGGAAATGGATGGATAGATATATAGAGACATATAGACACACAGTTCTGGCTTATGCAAAAGTCAAGGCAAATGAAGCGCAGATCATCATTAAAGACAATTATCTCTTTCAGTCATTTAACGCGCAGTCTTTTAAGCATCCACTACGACTACATCACAAAATTTGACCGTAGTAATCTATTCATTCTCTTCTCTTCCAAAGGCAGGTCGTGGGCGCAGCAGCTTAAAGCAAGGAAGCCCAGACTTCCCCGTCCCAAGCCCGGGAAAATTCCGAGAGGTTACCAAGCCAGCCGGGAGACAGGGTGTCCAAAGTCGGTCCTCACGGGGCGCTGTCCTGCCTGTTTTCCGGCTCTCCCAGGAGCAACACACTTGATTCAAATAATCAGGATGGTTCTAATGCTGCTTCAGAGCTGGCTGATGAGCTGATCATCTGAATCAGGTGTGTTGCAGCCGGGGGGAGATTGAAAACAGGGGGGACGGCGGCCCTCCAGGCCCAGAGCTGGACATGCCTGGCTTAGAGGAACAAAATCCTCATTATCACATTTTCAAGACCGGACAAAGTTAGATTGAAGACATTCTAATGCCAATTGCGGCATTGTTTTAAATTCTTAGATTCAATGCCTTTTCAAGGATGTGCAGGAACCCAGATTTGTCTACTCGTTAAGACGAAGAGCATCCTAATACAAGGACCTTGAGATCAATATCAATCCTCCTAAAAACATTATTAGCTCATTCTGAAAATTCTCGCAATGCGTCTTTTTTTTTGTGTGTGTCTTAAAAGTGGGGAGACCCATTACCTGTTAATATTTTCATTTGGAATTTAATTCTGACAAGTCAAACGCTATGGTACAAAGTGGACAGTCTGGATCGTGGTTGAGAAGGGAAAAAAAATGAAAAAAGGAAATTGGATATCTGTATTTACACCCACACATACACACACACACACAGGCACGCGCACACAGGCACGCGCACACACACACACAAGCTGAAAATGTTGCATTAAAGTCGCCTCAATGCGCGCTTTTTATCTGCTTTCTTTTTGACGGCTATGTTGTTAACAGCGCTACCGCTACTACTGCTGGCGGTCGTGCTGGGTCCGCTGGCGCCGTTCCCCAGAGCGGCGGGCACGGCTGCCGCGCCAGCTCCCGCCCGCTTGCCGAGATCTCCCGCGTGCTTCTTGGGCTGCGGCCCGTCGTTCGGGTCCTGCGAGGTCCCAGAGGAGCAGCCGGGTCCCATCATGGCGTGGATCTCTGTGAGGAGGCGGGCGCGGGCCTCGTATTCCGTGTAGTCCTCCAGGAGTAGGCGCCCCGCCTCCTCATTGAGAGCCGACTCCGGGTTGGGGTGGATGAGGAGACATTTGATTGTCTGTGAGGATGAGGGGGAGACATTTGGGGCCCATTAGAAACCGCGCGAGGGGGAGAAAGTGAAGAAAAGACCAGGCGGTCAATCTTACGAGCAAGACGTGTCTGAGCCCGAGTTCAGCCTTCCAGTCCCTCTTGAGGACATTGACACAGATCTCGCCTTTGTGGCCCACGTTGGGATGGAAAATCTTGGTGAGGAAATACCCCTTGGGAGGAACGGCGGGGAAGTCCTTACCGAGGACCAGGCGCATTCGGAACACGCCGCCGGCAAACGGGGTTCCCTCTGTGGACGCGTAAACAATTCATCACATCAAGTCGACCCCGCCAGTCGTACTCAATAAGCTGAGTCGGCAAACACCGCACCAACTCGGGGAAAACAAATTTAAAACCTTCCGAAGGCCACTTTGAGCCAGATTACGTGGATGATATGGCCTCAATCACAAATTACATCATCGAGAGACAAGGAAGTCAGAAAAGATAAGACACAGCAATAGCAAATCAACCTTAGGTACTGTAATAGTGTACTTGAGTACTATTAATATGAAAGGCCTCTTACCGGGCCCTTCTATGGCCGTGTGCAGTTCCGTTATGTCTTCATCACTGGGGTAGACCTTGATACCCTCCGGCGGGTCCGCTGCTAAGGCTGAAACTTCTTTGTACACCAAGCGAAGAACGTGTGGGGGCAAATTCTCCACATTGGAGTTCTATTGGAAGTCAGAGAAGTTAAATCAGACTTGCACAGGACTTAACCTATTGCCTGTGGGTGTGGAACGTATTCCCGTGATGAACGGGGGTTCACTGTATTGTCACCCAGCTTCATTACAAACACACAAACAATTAGCCTACAGAACTCAAGCAAACAATACATCAGTAAGCACCCTTTAAAAGGCTTTAACAGTCCGTACACAATTTGTCACTGCATATTTAAAATCCATTGAATAAACTTTGCCTGAAACCAAACTGTCAAATTGTACTCTCACGGTGGTTGTTGACGAGACTAAATTATTTATAAAGACGTGTATCACTGTGACTATACACAAAGCTACCGTCGTTGTTTAAAGACAAAAGAAAGCCAATGTAAACATTTGCATTAGCCTAGCAGCATCAGATTGGGTTTTAAATAGACGTCACGTTAGCTACGCTAGCACAAAAAAAAACAAAACGCGTGTAACACTCTTGATGTAAAGTACTTCTTCTCACAGAGACACGCGCCATACTAAAAACAGAATTCGTCAGAATATTTAAATGACATCAGCGTTTGTGTTAATATGACTGAATCGGAGTAAGGAAGCTCGACGCCTGGCGACAGCTAAACACCAAAACAAGCTAATGGCTAACAGAAACTAGTCGTACAATCGACTGTTGGCGTCCGTCTTACCATTTTCAAAATGAGTTATTTCAAAAAAACGGATTTTAGATTTCACACACGAGGAATTCCCGCTTATGTACGACGAAAAAAATAAATATTTGGGAATAACTTGTTGGGTTTTCACGAGCTGCTGTTCTTTTCTTCTTTTTTTCGTTGACACAGGAACAAAAATACGTCGCTCGGTTAACCTGGCGACAAGGCCCAATGGAATCGTGGCAGTGGGGTGCGCTGTTTGAATTCAACCAATCGGAATGTAGATATGCACACGTCATTATCAAGAGCCCAACCATCTGCTTGAAGAGGTTTAACAGTTATGTGTCATTGGTCCGTTTGAAAAACGAAAATCACGAAACAAACCCCGAACAAACGACGAAATTATTAAAATAGACTGGATTAAACGCTTTCTGAGTATAACTAAGGAAAACATCCCTGTTACAAGAGAGACAATAAAACGGATGTCTTTACATTACTTAATACTGTGTGTACAGACGATGTACAACGCGGTATGTATCGGGAAATTTAGAAGGAATTTCAACACAGAGTGAGAGCGAGCCTCATCAATAACAAATGCCAGTTTCAGTGATCTTGCAGCAAAAAATATTTATGTTGCATTTTGCCCCAAAGGAATAGATTCAAGATATTGACATCTGTCCCTGATTGCATGAAAGATAATCAGTTTTTATGTTTTGTTTCCGACGTCATCAACAGATGCCTGTGCATATCTGGTGCACTAGTCAAGTACAGTAGACGTTGTGGAGCTGGGAAGGTTATTATTATTAGTAGTAGTCGTAGTAGTATTTAATTGTTTTACTTTTTGAATACTTTCCAAAATATCAACATGTATTGCTTTTGCGTGTACGGGAGTGGGAACTGGAGTGGAAAGTTGTTTTTCTTACTTCCAAGAGGAAACAGGCCATTTAAAAAAATAACATCGGAAGAGTCTGTGGCTGCAAGCTGTGAAACAGACTGCATCAAGGACATACTGTCGTTGCGTTTGCGGTGCTCATTTAATATCTGGCCTAACTTAAATTCTATGTCTTGAAATGTTGAGTATGTGGTCAGGAATCTTGGAATAATGGCAAGATGTTTGCTATAACTAGTAACTGGTAGCTAACTCATTCAGCTATGATGAGCTTCCGTGCACACTCGCTCCAGGTTAATGAAGCTTTTAATTATTAGCGTTATTATTTGTGATGCTTACCTTAGCCAATTTGCCCTTGGCATCCTAGAACACCTCAGCAACTTGCATTTCGACTAATTCACAATGCAGTACAGTAGGTAGCGGTAATGTACGATAACGTTTTGCTGCTAACTGCTGTATACCAAGAAACAAGAAAAAGAAGATAACCAAGAATAGGCACCGGGGGGCGCTCCTACACAACGGCAAAAATCTGATGCCCGCGCCTCTCGATAAAAAGTAAATACAGCTAAGTAAAGTTAATTCACTTCTCTTTTATAGGACAGCAATTCATTACGGAACCATGGGAAGTGTTGTTTTGAATGGTATGAAACGGCCGTAACCATACCAGACATAGGCCAAAGTACTCAAGAATTCTTTAAAAACAAACAAAAAAAAAGAACTAAGGTAAAATAATGACTTGTAGAACTACTGATTCAACTTCTGTAATTAAGTACAAGGGGGAAAAGTACAGAATGAAATGTACTTACTAAAATGGTCAAAAATAATTTTCACTGGCAATTTTATACACCCCGTTACGAAACAGTGGTGTACTAAAAAAAACGCTAAAAGTAAGCCGATTTTTATAAATTAAGGAATAAAAAGTTCATCACAAAAGCAGGTCTGTAAAGTTGGAAAAAGTCGTCCGACAAGTACATATTACAGAAACATACAATTGTAAGGGAAAAATACTTAATTGCATTGCTAATTAAATTACAATATTTTTTTCCGGAAGCGTATTGCACATGAAGATTTTTTCCGAGTAATGTTTTTATTGTTGTAAATTTACTCTGATCAAAAGAAAAATATCTAATTCGGAAAATCTGAGGATAATAATTTCTGAAAAACAGAGAGAAAAACCTGAAAAACATGCGTGGGGTGGGGGCAAAATCAAAACTGTGGAAACGTTTTGAATGATATGAAACACTCGTGACAAAAACAACAACAACAACGCGTGAGCACTTCCGGATTCTGGATGGAGCTGTCAAGCGCATAACACCGCCTTCTTGTTTTTGGCTGAGAATCGCTTCGTCATCAACTTATTTCATTTGCTCTCAACAACACGACACACTAGTTGGAGAAAAACAAGCCAAACAATCCCACGCCGTTTTAAAAAAAATGATGTTAGCTTGGTAGGCGTCCTAGTAGCCATGTTTGCTAGCTAACATGGCCAGCTAGCTCGGTGCTGCTGATGTAGGCGCCAACGCGGTTGACTTTAGTTTGGCTGGGTTCCTAAAAAAATTGCCTGGTGTTATTTTTGCGACAATCATGAGCGAAGGGGGCGTTTTCCACGAGAAGCAGCGTCTGGAGCTGTGCGCCATCCACGCGCTCAACAACGTGCTGCAGGAGCGGGTGTTTACCAAAGAGACGGCCGACGAGATCTGCAAAAGGTACGGCGCAAAATGATATACTTCGTTTTATTTCATGATAGGTGTGCTTGTGTGGACATGCGTTTGCAATCCGGTGATCAAAAAGCATGATTATGCAATTTGAAGTCACGCAAACGAAGCCCCAAACAGTGAATCGTGTGTTTGTGTGTTTCGGTGTGTAATAGGGGCGTTCCTTTGAAATCTGCCTCTTCGGGTGAAGTGATCAAGTTTCATTTGCGTTCGGTACCTCGGCCAATTAGGTTATACGATGCTAACTTGACTTAAGTCTTTAATTCGTTCCAAGGACAACTTTGAACTAAGTTAACTCATACTATACATATCAAATGAAATTTCTCTCTTGGAATGAAGATGTCATAAATGCGTTCTTGCTCCCACGCCCCCAAAACAAGACCAAGTTTCGAATCAAGAAAAATAGACTGTATTGTAAGAAATATAAGAAAATAAGTAGTGTCTACTCATTAAAAAAACAAAAAAACTGTGGTCACTTTATGGTCGTCGGCACGCAGCCAAAGTGACCCCTTAGATGTGTTGTTGTCCACTTGCCTTGTTTACCATCCCGACCATAGAATGCCTGCGGTTACTTCAGATGAACACAAGTCATCGCAATGAATCAGCTGTTTGCGACTGTGGCCGCATCCTGGAAGGAAGCTTGGTGAATGGAAATTCACATTCCTCATTACTGAATCAGAATTTTTTTTTGTTTTTCTTTCCCATTTTTTTTTGTAGGCTGGCTCCACAGTGTGTGGTCAACCCACATCGCTCAGTGTTCGGCACGGGCAACTATGACGTCAATGTCATCATGGCGGCGCTCCAGAGCAGGGAGCTGGCAGCCGTGTGGTGGGACAAACGCAGGTGGCTCAGAAGAATCGCAACGAGGGAAAATGTGACGGGGCATCAGGGATTTATTTTTTACTCATTAAACTATTCTGCTCAGGTCACTGTGGGGCGGAATTCCTCGCATCTCCAAAACCTGTTCGGATTCAGAAATACGAAACCGACCAAATTTAGATGCAGAAGGTTTTGATTGACCATTTCTGCCTTGTCACTTGGAGTGCGGCAGGCACAACTGGCCATGATCAGGATGTGGCTTACTAAAACACTTATATGTTGTTTTTTTTTTTTTTTTCGAGGCGGGGTGGCAGAAACAGAATAATGGAACTGCCTATGGGGGTTCACTGTAAAGCATATGAAGGCTGTTACCTAACGGGAGCGCGTCATGTTTCAATTCCCTTCAGGACGGTCCAGAGTCTGTGCATCTCCAAGGTTCAGGGATTCATCCTGAACGTCCCTTCGTGCGTCTCGCTCGGCATCCTTTCCCTGCCGCTGCTGCGGCGGCGCCACTGGCTCGCCGTCCGCCAAGTCAACGGGCAGTACTACAACCTGGACTCCAAGCTGAAGAGTCCCGTCTGCATCGGCGGGGAAGCGGAACTACGGTACGCTGAGAACAGCTTTTCGTTGAATTCACTTTATTTTATTTCATGAAGTGGTCGCATCAAACAAAATAATCGAGATCCGGACACTTTTTTTTTTCTCGAGTTTTTCATGTTTTGCTCTGACTGACCAATCAAGACAGGAAAATGCTCCGGTTAAAATGACTTTGGGCCAGCACTGCTGATTGTGCAGGCGCTGAGCACATTCGATTGACACACAGAGGCTGAAATCTGATTGGACGAAAAAAGTCACATCCACTGACATCTATTTGGTGCTCTTTTCCCAGAACGTTTCTCAGCGAGCAGCTCTCTCAAGACGTAGCGGAGATGCTCCTGGTGGTGCCGCGGGAGGTGGAGGAGGACGGCTCCTGGCTGAACCCCGACGCCGCCGGTGAGGGGGCGAACAGTATGGCTTGAGAGCAAAACAAAGGACTTTTTGTTTTGTTTTGGGTTTTTTTTTTAACACACTTCATGCCAGGAAAGTATTCAGGGAACAAACTTGAAATGACTATATGGGCCAAAGAGAAGCTCGTTTGGAAAGCTTTTGAACATTTTTTCCATGTCCTTGATATCCAATTTAAGGTCCATGCACTAGTGCACTCTTTGTCCTCACTAGTAAGACAAATCAGCATTCTACCACTTGTTGATGTCTGCCTGTTACTAGTACTACAAGGTCGTAGGTGTCTCGAAGAATTTGATGTCACTTGACGTTTTAGTAGCTCGCAGTTATCGACGAGCGCACATGCAGCTATCGTACGAGTGTGCCAAAGAGTCCACTACTCGTACATGGACCCGTCGCTGGATATCAAGGATGTGAACGAAATGCACGACCGGCTTTCTAATACGCTTGTGCACGGGTGACGCCAAGATCCGATGATTGTAACTTTTTCCTCTGCAGCTAAAGTGGGAAGCCATCTGAGACTCAACGCTTAAACGGTTTCGTGGTACAAAGTGCCGACATGATGTCATCATATTCATACTACTAAGAATAATAACAGTGATGGCTCATGATTGTAATGAAGAAGACTCATTCCAAAACACTGAAACTGTTTGGTCTTTGTTTCTCGCGATGCAAAACTGTGCTCGAGTCGTCATCGCCACGTTACCGGTACAAGTGAAACACGCCATGTTTATTCGGTTTTTATTCCGCTCTTTGTCTTCGCGGCACAGGTGTCAACTGGCGAACAGTTTTACTTCAGTCGTTGTCCAACTTGTTTGCCAAGTGCCCTACAAGTGTGGACAAAGATCGTGTGCGCAACCGATACCATGACAGTCAAGCTAGTAACGTATCAAAACAACAGCAATGAATTGGCTCAGTCACACGGCCGTTCCCGGTGTCTCCTATCGATCTATGCATAGCCGACGTGCGTGTCCGTCTGTGGTGCGCACTTGTGACTTATTGACTGACAACCTAAGTTTTTATCTTTGACATGTGTTTGTAATAAACTTTGGTTGTTGTTTTAACACTCGGGCCTTGCTTGATTTTACTTCCTTTTCAGCAACACGTTCAGACAGCCCGTACGTACCGGTACTCTGTAAGATTGTCTGTTTTTGGGCAACTGAACGGAATGTAAAGAATTCGACTGTTTTCGCCACATCTTTGACTTCAATTCCATGGACGTCTTGCTGCTCCTTCAAGTGTGCACGCTGGCCGCTGGGGCGGGTGCAGTATAATAGACATACGGACATACAGTGTATGGAGATGGTTGCAGCTTCTTTGTAGGCTGCAGTCATATTAGTCGTTCTTCACAGAGGAGAAAGAACATGTCTCTGAATATTGCTCTGTTATCGGTCTACATGTTTTATTTTTTTTTCCAACTGTCACTACACTCTGCAATTGTGGCCACAGACGGAGGGACGTACTGTATGACATTGCCTCAAATGATGATCACCATTTTGATTTGAGAACATAAATGTCTGCTACACCCCTCATTTCACTACATTTGCATCAACACAACAAAACTGGTTCAAAAATAGGAAGTGAGATGGACACAAATGCCCGTCAGAGGGTTCAATGTGCATTTTTGCGGAGTTCAATGACTGCCAAAAACAAGTTGAGCGTGAGGTTATTGTTACATTTTTTTATTACTGTTATTCATGTTAGACTCTTGAGTGTAAAAGGATGCCATTCAAAAGGAGCATTGAGAGTACAAACTCAGTTGGAGGGGTTAACACGGTCGGGTGGGAGGGCTTGAGGAGGATTCAATGAAATCTCCAACATACCGTCATATACACGCACACACAAAAAAAAAAAAACAATTGCAGAGACCCAATGCTGTGCTCTGCAGCGGATAGAAAAAGTCTCCACACCCCTGTTCAAACGGCAGGCTTTTGAGATCTAAAAAAAAAAATGAGTGCAAAATAAATCCATTTCGAAACTTTGACCACCATTGTGGCCAAAGCGAAATCTGATTGGGAGGGTAAGCAAAACCAAATGACATTATGTGGTTGCAAAAATGTGCACACCCTAATTCGGATATACAGTATATATATATACACATCTCTCTCTCTCTCTCTCTCTCTCTCTCTCTCTCTCTTTCTCTCTCTCTCTCGTTTACAGTAATTGTATGTGTTTGTTAGAGGTCACATTCAAAGTGGGACAACATTTTTGAAATGATTTATCTTGCCTCTTTTTTGTTTTACATGGCAAAAAGCTGGCATTTGAACAGGGATGTGTAGACTTTCTATATCCACTGTACATTAGTTTTATTGCTCTGTACCCGCTGTTGCTGCTGTTCTTTAAGGGTTCTCCGTTCAAAGAAGGGTCTCGTAGCCCTCAACCGTGGTGATTATTATTATTTTTTTTTTTTAAAGAGAAATGATTATTCTTCCGATATATAGACAGTGAGATATACTCAGTACCATTCAGGTAATACACAGAAAATACAGAATTACCACCTATAAAAAGTAATAATAAAAAATATATAGCAAGTAAGGGGGAACTGCATAACCATTGACAGAAAAAAAAATGTGCTTTGTTGCTACGTGCCAGTGCTTTTTCTACAACAGTTTCATATTTATATTTATATGTATATAAAACAACTTTCAAATAAATGGGTGATACATTGAAGAATATAAAAACTACATCATGTAGTCACGTCAATAACATTCTCCACGTGCCTCACCACTGTTCACAGCTTACACAGTTTGGACAAACAAGGGGAGGGTTTGGTTTCACATCCTACCGGCGTGCCCACAGTTATTTTTAGTCCTGCTCCATTTTTTTTTTTTTTAAATAAGTGCTTCTAATCATCAGAATTGTCGGAATAATACACTTCTGTGATAGCCTCCTTATACGCAACACTAAAGCCATCGTTTTGCTTCTTTAAAATTAGTTTCCGTTCCTTTTAAAGTGTCCATTCATATGAAAACTAAACATTTGTTTTCTTCTTCTATACATTTCCTAAGAAAAGAAAAATAGTTATCAACGTGAATACAGGTTCCTCGAATGGGCGGGGTTAGGGTGCGATTGACTTCCCCCGTAACCAGTCAGCATGCTGGGAGAGTACTGCGGAAAAAGAACACAGGTGTCATTCAAACACGCCAATGTCATCTGGAATCCATGAACACGCCACAACAGCTGACGGCCTTTTGCCAGAAAACGCAGGTTATTTCATGTCGTAAACAGCCCCCCCGCAGCACGCACACCAGTCTACTAATGTAGGGTTGGGGGACATACGACCCGTGAGCAACATCCCAAACTTTTTGTGAGTAAAGTAGGACCCATGGAAATTGCCTATTTGTATTTTCCCCTCAATACTTAAAAACAGGCTTCTTTCATTTGAAAAAAAAAACAAGGGAAACGGTCATGGGTGGTTGAATCCCGTTTTTTTGGGGTGGGAGGGTTAAAAACGTTTTGTTTTTTTCTCCCATTTTTAAAAAATCTCCGATGCCATCTGTTCGTTGAATTGGCTCTATTTTTTTTTGAGGTACTGATATTTTTACAATTAATATATCAAAATTGGAGCATAAAGAGAATACCAAAGTCATAATTTGGGAATTATTGGCACTTCAAATACTTCAAAACTACAACCAAATTGGAAGAAATATTTTCAGATTCAGCGACATCAAAATACCCTGAAACTTTCTTGGCACCAAAAATGTGTTGTACGTGGATTTTTGCTATTGTGACTATTTGCGGCATATTTGTGGTCTGACATTCACAAAGTCACATATTCATGTTGTTTTTTTTTTTTCCAAACCACCCTCTGGTATTTGCGTTTTTTTTGTGCTTTGCCATCATCTTGTGGTAGCTTGGTACCAAGAAACTACGTTGAAGTGAGCTGAGGATCTTTATTTAGCCCAACGTAGTGCTTTGCCCCACCACAGGGGACATCAAGTACTCGGGAATATTCGCGGCAGGCCTCAAACCCTGAATAGAGTTCAAGTTCATGCGCGGTTTGAGGGGGAACAAAAAAAAAAAAAAAAGTGACGTGAAATGAGCTCCGGTGGAACAAAATTTTCCCTAGTCCTGCACTAGTCGGCGACGAGCATGATGATAAAATGGCACACACAAGAACAGAGGAACTCACAGAGGGGGGTGGGGACTGCCTGTCAGTCAAGGGGAGGCTCTCATAGCCAGGGTTGCCATTGGAGGAAACGTTTGGAGTCCTGCGTAGAGAGAGTAGAAAGAGACAAAGGGGAGGAGGAGGAGGAGGGATGGAGAATGAAGAAGACACGTCGAGAGAGACGGGAGACGGTGGCACAGGAGTCGAGGGCAGGTAAAAAAGGGAAGAGGGAGAATCAGCGGTTAGAGATCAAGCGCACAAAGCACAGCTCCCGCTCTCTCCCTCTCGCTCGCTTTCAGTAGGCGTGCATCTCCGTTCCTGACTGGAGGTGCAAGCATTTCGGTTGCCGTGCTAGTGAATGCGTGATGGGGGAAGAGAGAAAGAGAGAGAGAGGGAAAAAAAAGTTTTGGGGAAAGCACTCCCACTGGTTACTGTTGCATGTTAGTGCCACTTAGGTCGACCTGCGCAGTCCAATCACATCCAATTCCATGTTAACTCTAACTTTGTTTTAAGAAAGCAAAGTAGACCTTCCTTGTTGCTTCCGCTCTCTCTGGTTTCCCATTTTCGCTTTTGATCTCGTTTGATGAAATGACATCGTTTAAAAGTTTGCAGTCACTTCGAATTGTCCTTCTTTTTGAAAGAAAAGCACTGTCTCTCTGAATGAAACAGAAATGCAGTCTGGAACAGTGATCCCCAGTCATCCGATTTCATTTCAGGTAATTGGTCCGATTTTTCAAATCGCCTGTCTTTGTTCATTTCGCTATACCAGCGACGTGTAGCGACAGACAGAAAATTAAAAACTCATCCTCCTGGATGTCCGAAAGGACGATTCAACTGCATATTTCACCAGACTGTACAATTGTAAAATGTGTTCATCTTCCTCAGCTCAGTAAATACAAATCTGACATTATTAATGTGCCGTGGAAAAAAAAAATTAAAGTGACCCCCAAACTTTTGAATTGATAGTAGTAGGGTGTATTTTTCAAATTCTCCTGATGCAAAACTGCCCCGTGTCACATTGAGAGATGTTTTGAATCTGACAGGACAATGCGAGACACTGTCACTGGATTGCACAGCTGTCCCTAATGTGGTGGCCTGCAGTGAGTCTATTACATGGAAAGCCATTGGAGCATTTGTTCCATATCCACACTGGGAAGGCAATTCAGTGCTGCAGCTTACTAGCTACACAGCAGTAAGACAAAGTCATTGTAGCAACGCCCTGAATTATCTTAGTGGTGAGGACAGTGTACTAGTACATGGAATCCAACGGCTTTCCGTCGTGGGACTGCGCTTAACAAAAGATGTTAGAGGTGTGAGGAGTCACGATGAGAAAAAAGGCCAGGAGAGATCACAGTGAAGAGACAAGTGATGACGAGTGATGCGGAGGGTAGAAAAGGTCGGTACCTACTCGGGTTTCCTTGCCAATTTACCCCCACTCCCTCCCCGAATCCCCATCAAAAAACACAGCAGTGGTCTTACTATGTGGAGATTGTGACGCCGGAATTTCGAGTCTGGGGTGAAGGGAAAAAAAATGGCGGGCCTGCGTGGTCTGTCCGGAAAACACTTGAGACAGACGGACGAATTGGACAGAAACACGGGCAGACAGACAGACAGACAGGCCTCTGCATTTGTGTCCGCTCCTCTGTCTACACTGGCGTCCGTGTTGACCTGTCTGTATATCTGTCTGTCTGCGGAGGAGCAACTAGGGCTGCGTGTGGAAAAGCGCATGGTAGTGTCGGAGAGTGCCAAGGCTCACTGACTGCCTCTTGTGTGTCCTGGTTACGGTCAAACTTGGATATGATGAAGGAGGGACGTGGAATTGAAATGCAGACCGAGTGGATGCAACATTAGATACACCTGCACAGTCCACTGAGATCCAATAAAAGAGCTGGATGGAAAAAAAATAAAAAGTGAATGCTGTAACGCTCAGCCGGAGAGCTTTGATTGCTGTTGTAGAT